ATGAACCCCACCAGCTATGACAATGTTCTCATCAAGGTGAGGTCCCCAGCCTGCCTTTGGGGTTAGGGGCCATGGAATCAGAACAGCCCCTGATACTCTGCCTCCTCCTTCCACAGTGGTTCCCTGAGGTCACACATTTCTGCCGAGGGACCCCCATGGTGCTCATCGGCTGCAAGACAGACCTGAGAAAGGATAAGGAGCAGCTGCGGAAGCTCCGGGCGGCCCAGCTGGAGCCCATCACCTACACACAGGTGGGCCAGGACCTCAACCCCACCCACAGCCATAGGCCAAGGTCTCTCCAGTGCTGCCTGCCTCAGCCCTTTCCAAGGAGGTCAGGGTGCCAGCGAAAGAGACTTCTGAAAACACCCCCACCATGGCACATAACCATGGCAGAAAGACCTCCAGACTTTTGAGCTCTGTAACTGGGGTGCCTCAGTGGCCTTTCTGGGAGCTGAAGCAAGCAGGATTCTAAGAATAATTTTAAAGCTGATAGCTTATGGATCTGAGCGCTTGACATTACTTCCCTCATTTGATTCTTACGTTTCTGAGACGGGTCCTAATAACCTCCCTCAGTTCACAGGGGAGAAACTGAGGCCCAGGGAGGTTCAACAACTTGCCCATGGTTTCAGGTTTCAGGTTCAGCAACCTGAAAGTGGAGTCAGGATCCAGCCCCAGTCACTGAGGACCAAGAGTCTGCCCTATCAACTCCATCCTGCCCTGTACCCAGGGCATCCAGGAGTGCAGTCCTCATTTGAAATTGGGTGTCCTCTGGAGCCTCTGAGAGTCACAGCAAACCCAAGCCTTGCAGTTTTAGGGCTGAGGCATGTGAAAATAGTTAGAATAAAAGGAACACAAAAAGAATTTAATAAAGAAACTTTAATAAAAGGAATAAGCTTAATAATGACTAATTTATTTTTAAAATAATTTGTTTTGTTTGTTTTTAACTCAAAAAACTCAGTGGCTTAAATTGTGCTGTCAGGGAAGAGAAGGGAGACAGGTGTCTAGGAGGAGGTGGTCTCTGTCTTGGAGCCACCCACCTTTCCTCACGGGCTGGGAAACACCGCCCCAGCCCCATTTCTTAGCATTCAGCCCGCTCTCCCTGGAGCTGGGGAGAGGCTGGGGTGGAGGCCAACACAGGGCTTCTACCAGGGGGTGGTAGTCAGTGTGGGGATACCAGAGAGCCCTAAAGTCCATCCACACACACTGGTGAGGACTGGTCCTAGGAAGGAGAAGGGACAGGAGTCCCAGCCAAGGCCTCTACCTCTGAAGAGTCCCCAGAGCCAGCCCCCAGCCTGTGAATCTCTAACAAGGTATCAGGAGGCCCCAGGCTCTTCATCTAATAATGCCTCCTCCCCCACTCAGGGCCTGAGTGCTTGCGAGCAGATCCGAGCTGCGCGCTACCTGGAGTGTTCTGCCAAGTTCCGGGAGAACGTGGAAGACGTCTTTCGAGAAGCCGCCAAGGTGGCCCTCAGTGCTCTGAAGAAAGCACAGCGGCGGAAACAACGCCGGGTATGCCTGCTGCTGTGACATGGGCACAGRCCTCAAGACAGGACTAATAGGGTCAGGGACCCAGGCCTAGACCACTCCTAGGATTCTGCCCCGTCCCTAGCCCTGCGGCACCTGGGACCTCAGGCTGCACTCTTAGAACATTCTGGAACTCTCTCCTTTCTGTGAACTTACCTTCGGGTTCACAGAGAGTGTAGCAGTGATTGAGGGAGCCGGATACACGTCCTTCTACCCTGGAACCAGCTTTTGTTCCCAGACTCAGGAGGACCCTATCATGGTCTCCCCCTTGTGTGTCCCCCTTTGCACACTCAATTCATGCTTAAAACGTAGGACTTCATGTGAGTACATGGGGATTTGGCACCACTCCACACGGTGCCCCTCAAACTTGCTGCTTCCATGTCACCYTCCTCCCTGGCCTCCCAAGATAGGTATGGCTGCATCCTCCAGCCTCTTCCTTCTTTCCCCCAGACCTTCGGGGCCACCACAGGGCCAGGGCCTATCAGGAGAACACAGGCAACAGCCCTGGAAGTGAGGCTGACACTAGACCCTCCCTCTTCCTCTTCCTCCTCCTCTGTCCCACACAGCGGAACTCGGCCTTTAGATTGGGCACCATCATGTGTGCCCAGGGGGGAAAAAAAAGTGATCTCTCAAAAGGTCAGATGCCCTGGGTCACCCCCCTGACCCCTATTCCAGGTCTTACCTCTGGACCCTACTCACACCCCACCAGGGACTTGGGGTGGAAAGTGCCTGGGGAGACCTCTGTTCTCTCCTGAGATTGTCTCCCATCTTCAGGGGCCCAGGAGGGGGCCATTTAAATAGGCTTTCCACATGCCCCTCACAGCCTGCTTGTATCAGGATATGGAGCTCAGAACTGCCCATCCTGGTCTCCTTCGAGGACTGACATCAAAACCCCTGTCCACGCAGGCCCATAGCCTGCCTGTGTCCCTGCCAGCCAGCTGCCTATACCCTGAACCTTTCAGAAGGTCTGGGATTGGGCGTCCAGGACTTTTTAAACAAGTGCCCAGTGGCTCTAATGCCTGAGACAGCTGTGTGGTTGTGAGTGAACCTAAGAGTCAGTGTTGCCTGAGATGGTACCATGATTTTGGCAGGCATCTGTTCTCCCTAGTGCTGCCTGCCTCAGTCCCTTCCAGGGAAGTCAGAGTGCCAGTGAAAGAGACTTCTGAAAACCACCCCACCAGGTTCCCCAAGGCCCTGCTGTCCCCTGGGGAGTCATCCAAGGACCTCTCGTTCTCACAGAATCCAAGGCCTTATGGACAAATGATGGTTTAGGGTGGAGGTCGGCAAACTATGGCTGCAGGCCACATCTGGCTACCACCTATTTTTGTAAATAAAGTTTTATTGGCATCGCCAAACCCACTTTTGTATGCACTGGCTCCTTTTACTCTACAATTTCAGACTAGTCGCCAGAGAGGCCACGTAAAACATTTATTGTCTGGCCTTTGATAAGAGTTTTCTAACTCCCAGCTGGGCAAACTTGGGTGCCTACAAAGGGCTGAACAGAGATCCAAACAAGGGGAGTAGGGCAGGGGTAAAGGGAACGGCGGGACTGCCAAACCAGAGAGCCGGTGCCTGATCTCACCTTGTGGGAATGCTGTTGGATCTTTTCTTTTGTGTGTGTGTGTGGGGGGGGGTACTGGGGATTGATCTCAGGGGCTTTCTACCACTGAGCTACATCCCCAGCCCTTTTCTTTTTTCCCTTGGTACCAGGGATTGAACTCAAGGGCACTCAACCACTGAGCCACATCTACAGCACTTTTTTGTATTTTATTTAGAGACAGGGTCTCAACTGAGCTGCTTAGCACCTCACTGTTGCCCAGCTGCCAACCTTTTTTTTTTTTTTTAAAGACACTTTCTTGCTATAGTTACCCAGGCTGGTTTTGAACTTGTGATCTTCCTGTCTCAACCTCCTGAGTGCCTGGGATTACAGGTRTGCACCACAGAGTCCAGCTCTTTCCATTTTTCTAGAGAAGTAGAAATCTGGATTTTAATCTGAAATCTCACTGTGGGGAGGGCATTGTTTTTTAAATGTAACTAATTAAAAGAATTTAAAACCCCTCTGAGCAGGGCACAGGGGCAGACACCTGTAATCCCAGCTACTTGGGAGGCTAAGGCAGGAGTATCACAAGTTTGAGGCCAACCTGGGCAACTTTGCCAGACCCTGACATAAAGTAAAAAATAAAAAGGGCTTAGGATGGCTGTCCTACTCCTCAGTTCATACTCAAAGGACTTAAAATCAGCATACCACAGGGACACAGCCACATCAATGTTTATAGCAGCTCAACTCACAATAGCTAAACTATGGAACCAACCTAGATGCCCTTCAACAGATGAATGGATAAAGAAAATGGAGTACATATACACAATGGAATATTACTCAGCCTTAAAGAAGAATGAAATTCTGGCATTTTCAGGTAAATGGATGGAACTAGAGAATATCATCCTAAGTGAAAAAAGCCAATTCCCAAAAAACAAAGTCTGAATATTTTCTCTGATAAGCGGATGCCGATCCATGGGAGAGAGGGGGAGAATGAAGGAACTTTGTATTATGCAGAGGGGAGTGAGGGTAGGGGTAGGGCTGGGACAGATGATATACAATGAGACAGACATTATTACCCTGCATACAGGTATCATTACACTATTGGTGTGACAGAGGAAGGAAAATTTGTGTTCCCTTTGTGTACAAGGTGTCAAAATGCATTCTACTGTCATGTACAACTAATTAGAACAAATTTAAATTTTCTTTTTTTAAAAAAGGCAGGGCTGGGGATGTGGCTCTGTGATAGAGTGCTACCCTAGAATGTGTGAGGCACTGGATTCAACCCCTTACACACACACAAGACACACAGACAAACCTCTGAAAGCCAATGGAAGCATGTCTGTGGGTACCAGCTATSCGGTCTGGTCTGGGTGGATGTGTAGGGAAATGGTCAAAGGCAGCTGAAGCCTGTGCATAGGTGGGCAGGGGCAGGCACTGAACTGAATCTGCTGGCTTCTTCACCCTCCCCACTACAGATCTGGCCGGGTACCCATACAGCAGCTCTGGCCTCACAGGCTGGCCTTTGGGAGTGAGCCTGCTCAGACTGTCCCCTTTCTCACATATTATAGAACCTCTGAGGGAGGTGGGGAATGGGCCATCTCGGAGATGGCTTAAGTCCCAGCCAGCGCTGAGTGTGTGGCTCCTAGGCCCTGAGTACTTGTAGTACGCTTGGGAAGGTGGGCTGAGAGAGGGGGTCAGGAAACCCTGAAGGATGGCCTGGTACTTCCAGTATCAACGACCTGGGCCACTCTAACAACCCAGAGGTTGGTGCGCCCTCTAGTGGCCAACTTCTTAAACTCTCCCACACTAGGACTAGCCCTCCCAGTGACTCCAAGGGGGCGGAGCCCTCAGGTCCCAGGGAGGCAAGGCCACTTTCCCAAGGACCAGCAGGCAGGTGACTCGGGAAGCACAAAAGACTTGAGACAAACACAGGCAGTGGTTCTCTGAGAACTTAAATAATCCCCCATCACTGAGGGCGAGGGCCGCGGAGGGGGCTTACAGCAGGGGCAGCTGGGGCCCAGGGGAGGGGGCTCCACAGGATGCTGGAAGGTTTCATTCCACCCTGCGCCTGGGGTGCTGTAAGCAGCAAGTCAGCATAAGTCCAACCCCTGCGAGGCACATCCAAACCCCTTCGTGAGGGGGTTCAAATGACAGGGGTGGGGACAAAGGGGCTCCCTGAGGATTTGGGCCCCACCCCTAAGAAGACTGACCCAGTCTCAGCTATTGCTGAGAGCAGCAGGGAAGGCCTCAGATTCCAGGGAAGTTGGGAGGACCCAGTATTAAATATGTCATAAATAGGGAGACTAATACTGTGCAGAGAGGTGGGCTTCACATTCCTCGTGTCCTGCTTGGGAGGGGGGCCTCAGCCCTGTTCCCAGCAATGCCACTGGCCCCTGAGATGCTACTGCCCTTGGCCACCAGTGACGGGCATCCAGGGTGCCAACAGGAATCCCCAGTAGTCTCAAAGTCCGGGACTCCAGGGGCACACAAGTTGAGATGCTCACGGCTTCTTCATCTCATTTCTGTTCTTCTGGAATTTGGCGCACCCAACCTTGAATGCAGTCAAGTCCAAGGCTCATGGCTTCTTCATCTTGTTTCTGTTCTTCTGGAGTTTGGTGTGCACGACCTTGAGCGTGGTCAGGAAATTGCCAAGGAAGAGGACGAGGAAGGTGAGAGCCAGCACGAACACCTGCGGACCCACAGGGATGCAGCGCCCAGCAGCACAGAGGGCAGGGTGGGTGGAGAGGAGAGAGAAGCTGGGTCAAGTCCCCTGCTGAAGTGTAGGTCCTCACCTGAGGCCCCAGGGCTCCAGCAAAGCTGCAGGGGTTTCCAGAGGCAGAGGTAGGTGAACTGGGTAAAGGCAATGAGTTCCCAGCATCAGGCTGGTCCTGGAGGAGCATTTGATGGGGTGGGCCTCCTTAGCCCCTAGATCCCTGAGGGGCTCCAAGGTCCCTGAAATCCCCCCCACTATCTCCCAGAGTTTTCTGAGCAATAGGGCCCCAAGGCAGAGAAAAGGAGGTGGCTGAGGACAGAAATGTCCCTAAGCCAGCTCAGCACCAGCAAGGCCTCACCCCTACTCACACACATGCCACACAAATGCCATACCTGCCATTCTCTGCATTCTTCATGGCTGGAGAGCTCAAACAGTGTGACAGCATTGTAGAGCTGCCAGAACTGGAGACAGGAAGACAGTACTGTTCACCCACTGAAAAGTCAGGGAGATGTCCAGCCCCCAGCTTCCAATCCCACCTGCACGAGGCACACCCCCCAGATAAACTGCACCCTAGGCAGGGTGGGTATGAGGACCAATTCTGGCTTCTTTCCTTAGTATCCCTGGACCCAGAGGCATCCCTGAGGCTTCTTGCTCCTGCAAGAAGACTGACTTGGTCTTGGCCATTGGCTAAGAGCAGCAGGGAAGGCCTCAGATTTGGGGGAAGCTGGGGTGGGCTAATACTATGGAGGGAGGAGAGGTGGGCTTCACATTTCAGCTGCCTGTAAACAACTGGTGAAGAAGGGGGAGACCTGAAGACCTTCTATTCCTGGGATCAGCACAGACAGGGGCACCCCAAAATAGCAGGGGAACTCACGTGGCCACAGAAGAGGAAAGGGAGGAGGAAGGTGAGGCCTCGCCACATCCAGGACTGGAATCCTTCTGTAGAAAGCAGCAAGGAGCCAAGGGCCCATATGAGGGGACTCAAGGGGCCACTGCCCCACCATGTACCCTAAAATTAGCCAGCAACTAACACCAGGCAGGCACTGTTCACCTTTTATAGGTGGGTAAGCACTCCACCGCAGTAACAACCCAGAGACCTGCAGAGCTCCTGTCACCATACCCAACTGCTCTCTCAAGTCACCATGAGACAAGGCCTGACACTACTCATGAGGCTCAGGCACTGTGTTTTCACTAATTTCCTTAATTGGTGCAGGAGTTTGCATTTTGGAATGGGCGTTTGCACATATTGCTTCAATCATATTAAAGTAGGGCTTTTTTTTTTTAAACCAGGGATTGAACCCAGGAGCGCTTAACCCCTGAACCACATCTTCAGCCCTTGTTATATTTTATTAGAGATGCTGAGTTGCTTAGAGCCTCGCTAAGTTGCTGAGGCTAGCTTTGAACTTGCAATCCTCCAGCCTCAGCCTCCAAAGTTGGTAGGATTACAGGCATGTGCCACAGCACTGGGCAAATAGGGCCTATTTTGCAGAGTACTCAGGTAGAAATGACCTTCTCCAATGATAGCAGAGCTTTATTAGAAATAGCTTCCCCTTAAAGTTTAAATGAGGGAAAGTTCTTTTTGATTGAGCATGCCATGGATGAAAAGGGTTAAGCTCATATTCCAATATACATATGTTTATACATTTTTAAAATTGTTTTGGTGCCAAGAATTGAACCCAGGGGGTGGGGATGTGGCTCAAGGGGTAGCGCGCTTGCCTGGCATGCGTGCGGCCTGGGTTTGATCCTCAGCACCACATACAAACAAAGATGTTGTGTCCACCGATAACTAAAAAAAATAAATATTAAAAAAATTCTCTCTCTCTCTCCCCCTTCCCTCCCTCTCCCTCTCTCTCTCTCTCTTTAAAAAAAAAAAATTGAACCCAGGACCTTGCACATCTAGGCAAGTACTCTACCACTGAGCTATCCCTCCAACCCCTATTTATACATATTTATACATATAAGTGTCATACATGAATTATATGCAAACCAATACTAGGCTAATAGTGTGTGTGTGTGTATTTTTGAGATGGGATCTTGCTATGTTGCCCAGGTTGTCCTGGGCTCAAGCCATCTACCCATCTCAGGCTCCCAAGCAGCTGGGACTACATGCATATACCATCATGCCTGCCTAATATTTTGAATATTATAAAATGCAGGCAAAGAATAGATATCTAAAAGAATAAGGTCAAGGCCTAGCTCTGAGGGCCTGGCACTCAGTCAGCCTCACACTGGGCAATTGAAACAGAATCCATAATGAATTACAAAAAGCAACTCAGATAAAGAATGGCAGCCCTGGCTTTGCTGAATGGAAGGTCTTGTGTCCTTGCAACGACATGCTCCAGTGTGGGGAGCTGGGCAGGCCAAGGCTTGTTTGGCCCTTGCCTGGCTACTCACCCACAGTGAGGTCCAGGTGATTCCTCTCACCCAGGGCTCGCAACCTGTAGAGGCAGCCCCTCTGGTAATAATACTGTAGGAACTGGACACAGCCTGCAGGGGGAGCACAGCACCTGGGCTTAGGGCTGACAAACCTGAGGACAGGACAACTTTGCCTCTCCCCAAAAGCCCTAAGGTCCCCAAGTTCAGCAGACCTTACCAAACCACAGGCTGGTGGGACATCACCAGCTAGAGGGCAGAAAATTCACCCTGGTTACAATCCTTTGCCACCCCGGTTACAATCCTCTCCCACCCAGTCCCAACACACACACACACACACACACACACACACACACACACACACTCTCTCTCTCTCTCTCTCTCTCTCTCTCTCTCTCTCTCTCTCTCTCTTTCTCTCCCCCACCCTCCCCACACTAGTCTGAACCTGCTTTATCCTCTATCCAGAATACAAAGACAGCTCAGATATGAGGACCCGTGTAAGCCCCAACTAGACTGGAAACTTCTGAAATTTTCCTAGGCACGCAGTACAAGCTTGAGAGACACCTGCTGGAACGTAAGATGACAGTGCTAAGCTGGAGGCTGCACACAGTGGAAGATCACAAGAGATGATGCCGTATAATGGGATAATTCCTAGTTGCTAAACATGAGGAAGTACTGACATAACAAAATAACAGTTAAGATAAATATTTTAAAAGTTATAGGGAGAAGTGCTGGGAAGTGATATTGGCCAAATTATATTGTTATATTTTGTATTGTGTTCATGTACAGATATGTAACAAATCCCATCAGTATGCACATCTATAATGCACAATAAAAAATGAGGGAAAAATAAAATTAAGTTATAATAGTAAAGCTCTATGTCCATAATTATAAAATGTACATATGAAATATATATACATACATACATATGTACGTATATATATATATAAACATTTGAGGGGGCTGTGGCTCAGTGGTAGGGCACTTTGCCGAGCACATGTAAGGCACTGGGTTCAATCCTCAGCACCACATAAATTGAAATCTACAACTAAAAAAAAAATATTAAAAAAAAAAAACATTTGAGGGCTGGGGATGTGGCTCAAGCGATAGCGCGCTCGCCTAGCATGCGTGCGGCCTGGGTTCGATCCTCAGCACCACATACAAACTAAGATGTTGTGTCCGCCAAATACTAAAAAATAAATATTAAAAATTCTCTCTCTCCCACTCTCTCCCTCTCTCTCACTCTTTCTTTAAAAAAAAAAAACATTTGAAAGGACATAGATCTTAATGTTGATCACCCCTAAAGGTGGATTATTATACAATTTTCATTGTTGAATTTATATATTTATAGTTGTTTGCAAGCAGGTTCTTATTTAAAATTCAAGTAATATGGAGGGCTAGGGATACAGCACAGTATTAGAGCACTTGTGTAACATGCACCAAGCCCTCGGTTTGATCCCCAGTACTCAGGGAAAAAGAAAAAATGATAATACAGAGACAGGTATGGTGGTTGCACCTGTCGTCCCAGAAACTGGGGCTGAGTCAGGAGGATCACTTGAACCCAGAAGTTTGAGGTCATCCTGGGGTACACAGCAAGACCTGTCTTAGGGGTGTAGCTTGGTGGTAGAGCACATGCTCAGCATGCACAAGGCTGGGGATTGAAGCCCTAGCACCAAAAGAAGGGAGGAAGGGAGGAAGGGAGGGAGGAAGAAAAAGGCAGGAGACAACCCCCTCAGAACCAATTCAGAATCAATTCACTGTATACCAATCCAGAGCTATTCTCTGCTTTTTTTTTTTTTTTTTTCTGGTACTGGGGATTGAATTCAGTACGATGGATGGAAAGACCTTAACCCTGAGCTACATCCCCAGCCCTTTTTATTCTATCTTGAAACAGGGTCTCATGAAGGTGTTTGGATTGGCTTGGAACTCTCTACCCTCCTGACTCAGCCTCCAGAGTTACAAGGATTACAGGTGAGCACCACCACATCCAGCCTTCAGAGCTACTCTAAAATGGAAAAAAAAAAAAATCCATTTTAAGGACTTATTTAAAACTGGGAAACAAGGTTTGTGGCTCCAACACCACTTAGTTCCCAAAGGTTGCACTCCTGGGCAGAGGCTGGGGCTCCAGAGGGCAGGTGCAGGCTGATGTCCCTCTCCTAGGGCTGGGGGTGGGGAGGTAGGGTGGAGTTCAGCTGCGGGGCAGGGAATGGTTCTTTTCTGGATTTCTGGTCAGGGTCCTCTCCCTCCCTGGTCTCCCTCTACACAGGCCAGCAGTGATGTCCACTGGGGAGACCCCTTCAGTGAGAGCCCCAAGAAATCAGTCCCTCCCCCAAAGCTGGGCTCAGACACTCACTCTGAAAAATTGAGAATGCTAAAAACTGATTGCGAAACTTCTGATAAATTAGTCCATTGGGCCTGGAGAGAAAGAGGAAAAAAAAAGAGATGAGGTGCTCTGAAATCTTGACATTGGTCCCTGTCCCAGCTCTACTCCAACCAAGAGAGAAGAAAAGGTTTTAAAGTTAAGCCAGAGTCCCTGGTCTCTGCCCTTATTTGTCCTAGAACTGGGCCAGGTCATGCCCATCATTCTTTCTAAAACCAAGAGAGCTTGGTAGTCATTCTGAAACCTCATTCATTCCTTTGGCCTTGATGTTCCCTGTCACCTCTGCCCCAGACAGCAGGCAACTGTGAAATATTCCCAGCTGTGGAAACTCCCAACTGGCCTGACAGGGCCCTGGCAGCTAGGCCTCTAGCCCAGTTGTAAATTCATACTTGCCTTCCTGACCCAAAAGTCTTCCCTAGAAGGGCCCCTTCCACATTGACCAGCCTCAATTCATCCAGCTCCCTGGGGAAACTCTAGGGGCCCAGCAAGGGGCAACTCACCAGGTCAGCATCACTCCAGACAGGAACGTAGAGACATAATGGTGAGACACCCACCAGCCTTTAATTCTCGGGGAGAAAAGAAGGAAAGATGCTCAGGTGGGGACAGAAACACAGGTGATGGCCTCTGTTTCCAACCTATGCAGCAGGGGCTGCTCTACAGCTGGAAACAGCTTCTTGGAGTGAGAAACCAACAAAACCAAGGGCTGAGATGTGTTCCTGTGGTAGAGCACTTGCCTGGAAATGGGCACAAACCATACTCTGTCCCTTCTTGATCCTACAGAGATAATAATCCTATGCTGACTACCTGCAGATTATCCCAGAGACCCACTTCAGGTTCCAGGGGCTTTGGAGACCCTCATAACACATCCCTAACATCACCTGGCCTTCAGGCCCACCTCCCTGTCCTCTCTGGGCACCCAGATGTTCTGAGCATCCTGGCCTTTTCTTGAATTTGCCAAGCCTGCTGCTGCCTCAGGGCAATTATGGACTGAATTACATCCCCTCGAATTCTTATGTTGACATCTACTCCAGTACCTTAGAATGTGACTCTATTTGCAGATAGTGTCTTTTTTTAAAAAAAAATTTTTTTAGTTGTATGTGAACACAATACCTTTATTTATTTATTTTTCTGTGGTGCTGAAGATCAAACTCAGTGCCCTACATGTGTTAGGCAAGCGCTCTACCACTGAGCTACAAACCTAGCCCCAGAGAGGGTCTTTAAAGAGGTAACTGGAGTTAACAGAGGTCACAAAGGTGACCTAATCCAATGTGACTGGTGTCGTTGTACAAAGAGGAAAAGGCACCAGGGATAAGTGGGCACAGAGGAAAGGACACACTGTGAAGGTGGCCCTCTGCAAGCCAAGGAATAAAGACCTTAGAGACCAGCGTGCCAGCACCTTGATACTGGACTTTCAGTTTATGGAACCATAAAGAATAAAGATGTAGTTTGAGATGCCCAGTACACAGTAGTCCCCCTGGCAGTCCAGCAGCTAGTACAAGGCCTCTATACCTGCTGCTCTCTCTGCTCCAAGTCTTCTGCCTGCTGGGGGTGGGTCTGAATTCAAGTTTCAGACTAACTTTCACCTCTGCCAAAGGCCTTCGCTGACCACCTTGCTAAAACCCTGGATTACATTCCTGTTTAATTGTCTTCATGGTACTTACTGCCATCTAAGATTATGTATTCCTTTGTTACTGAGCCCCCTTTCCCACTCAACTGTAAATCCCAGAAGAGCAGGGATCTTGTCTGTGTTGCTCTCTGATGTATCTGTGACACCAAGATCAGAGCAGCTGCTCAGTTACTGTGTTGAATAAACAACAGTTTATTGGCTACGGCTCTGTGTGAGTGTTGTATATGCACTCACACAGAGCCGTAGCCATGCTATCCTGTGCAGACACAGGGATGACAGACTCTACATGTGTCCAAATCTGTCTCGGGTCTCTGCTGGCCTCCCCAGCTCCTCTCTGGGAGCTGCAATCCAAACACATGGAGCAATGAGCTCTGCTAAATGCACCCTGGGAACAGCTGGGCTCCTTCCTCCCAAAGACTGGGCAATGGGTGACGGCCATGGAAATAGTAATCACCTCTGTTCTGTCATAACTCTCTACCAGAACAGAGTACTGAGAAGGCACATGTCCAGATGCTGTCTCTTACAAGGAAGAGGAACCACGAGAACCTGCTGCTGGGGAAGAGGGTACTGCATGAGGCTTTCTTTTTAATGAAAACCAGCCTGCAGCTTGCTCTCCTGTCATCACCGCCAGGCCAACTGGCAGCTACAGGCCTGCTATTTGGGGATATGGCAAACAACATTCCAAGGAGTGGCTCTGCCATAGTCTACTTGGCTCTTCCACAAATGGTCACCATGCCTCTTCTCAATACTGTTGTGACATCCTTGTGGAAGTCCCCTGCATGACCCTTTCTCCATGGTGGCTATCAGAAGTTGGACGACTGGGKCAGGTTATGTCTTGATACCTATCAAATTACCCTCCAAAACAGCTTCCCCAATTTACACTCCCATCAGCAGTAGATTTGTTTCCCAAAACCTTCACAAACACTAGAGATAACATTTAATTTTTTTTTTTTAGTTGTAGTTGGATGCCATACCTTTATTTTATTTATTTTTATGTGGTGCTGAGGACCGAACCCAGGGCCTTGCACGTGCTAGGCAAATGCTCTACTGCTGAGCCATAACCCCAGCCCAACATTTAAAATTTTTGTCACTCTCATTATGTCTTTTGTGTGTGAGGGGAAGGGAGGCACTGGGGATTGAACCCAGGGCCTCGTACATGCCAGGCAAACACTTTACCATGGAGCTACACCCCTGCCACTGTTATTGTTTTTTTTTTTTTTTTTTTTGGCAGCAGGAGGGGGTAGGGCGGGGGAACCAGGAATTGATCTCAGGGGCACTCTACCACTGAGCCACATCCCCAGCCCAATTTTCTATTTTATTTGGAAACAGGGTCTCGCTGAGTTGCTTAGCACTTTGTTAAATTGCTAAGGCTGGCTGTGAACTCGTAATCCTCCTGCCTCCTGAGCTGCTGGGCATGTGCCACTGTGCCCAGCTGTTTGTCATTGGGATCCTAACTTGCATTTCCTAATAGGTGGGTTGGATCCATCTTAAAACCTTCCTACTGGAAAGTGCACATCACAAGAATGAGGGCTGAATCTTAACCACCTCCTCTTCTCTTTTCAGCCCATAAGACATTTCTGGATATCAATTAGCTGTTCAGGCAACAGCCTATGTGTGACTCAAGGATTATGATAAGAAATTTAGGAATACAAGGCTCTGTATTCCTAGCAATAACAGCACCAGGTAAACAATAGCATTCAATAAATGTTGTCATGAATGAAGTGATATCCAGGAGGTGTGGCGAGTGAAAGCAGCAGCTAGTCTGTATGCCAACCACCACAGGAGATCACATTCATCCATATCTTTGTCCCCAGCACTGCCCCAATTCTATTACCCTCTTCTTGGCTGTCTGAGTCTAAGAGGACCCCTAAATCCAATTTCCTAATAGTAAATTCAGCTCGCCAGATCCTTGGACTTTCAGCTTGAAGATCAACCAAGAGCCTGACATGGCAGTGCATGCCTATAATCTCAGCTGCTCAGGATGCTGAAGTAGGAGGATCACAAGTTTGAGGCCAACCTAAAATTTAGTGAGACCTTGTCTTAAAATTAAAAGGGCTATGGGTGCAGCTCAGTGGAAGAGCACTTGTCCAGCATGCATGAGGCCCTTGGTTCAATTCCCAGGACCTCCTGCCACCAAAGGGCAACCAAGAGGTGTCACTGCAACCCCTCTAGAGTTCTGCAAAGCCACACAGGAGCTCTCAGATCTTGTCCCGGGACACTCTTTTGTCCTACTCCCCAAAGTTTCCCTGAGAAATGCCCTTTCCTGATTGGGTGCTGCCTGGGCCAAACCCACACTCTAGACAAGCTTGACTGAGCAATGGCTTTCAATTTCACAGCTAGTGGTGCCCAGAACCCAGTTTTGACAGATGCCACCAATAAACTCAGCTCAACACCATGGGGTGAAGCTAGAAACTGCATGTTCCCCAGCTTAGCATTCATGAGCCCTACTGTCCATCTGTTCACCCCAGGGCTAGGGGCTGGTTTTGTGTCTGTGTTTTTATATAAAGGTTTGATTGTGATATAGCTCAGATACCGTCAAATTCATCCAGTTATACAATTCAGTGGTTTTTATTATATTCTCAGAGCTGTGTAACCATCACAATTAATTCAGAACCTTTGAATCACCTCAAAAAGAACTCTGCAAAAACCCCATAGCAGTCACTTTCTGGGCCATCTTTGCCATAAAAACAAGGCCTGTGGACCTGTTCTTAGAAGCAGAGGGTAGAGGACTCAGGAAGAGCAGGTGCAGGTGGGCCAGAGCAGAGGGATAGCACATTGGACTCTGCAGATCATGCCAGGGAGATTGTCTCTTCTCCCTTCAGGACACATTAGATAACGTCTGCGTGTGCAGAAGAGATGCGCACCAGGCATTGTTCAACCCAAGGCAGCTTCTGGCTTTGGGGTTGGGGCAATCTGGACAGCTGGGGAATGGCTTCTACTCCTCCCTTGCCTGCAGCCCTCTACATGTTTGTTCCAAGGATAGGCCCCTGAAAAAGCCAGAGATCCAAGCACTGTGAGCTGGTTCTCTAGGAAAGCCAACCCAGCTGGATTGCCATCACTATTGATTTGGGCATAGAACTAACTATAGTGGACATCAGCTGTTTTGCCATTTGCCAATCACCACCCATCCTGGTCCGTGGCCTCGGGTATATAGGAAGTCACCCCACTCACACCATCGGCTGGTTTGGTGGAGCTGAGGACTGTATCCAGAGGACTGTGTCTCAGAACTGGCCAATCTGTGCTCAGCAGCTCTTTGGCAACAGTGATTGGCTCAGGGGCCAGCAAGTCATCCCAATTTAACCAGTCAGAAGTTTGAAGATTCCCTCTGGATCTATGAGGATACAGGAGGGGCTCTCAGCTCTGGAACTGCTGACCCGATTCCTGGCCAACCTGGGCTTAGAGGAGCCAGCCCAGGGAGAACACTAGGGAGTTAGAGTGGGCTGTTAACATTGTTGGGAGTGGGTCATGCTGGCGTACGCCGCCAGAATCCCAGCAACTCAGGACACTGAAGCATGAGGATCACCAAGTTTGAAGCCAGTCTTGGCAACTTAACGAGGCCCTATCTCAAACATTAAGAAAGGGCTGGAGGTGTAGCTCAGTGACAGCATTCCTGGATCCAATCCCCAGGACCGGGGTGTGTTGGAGGGGGGCACTGTTGGAGCTTTTTTTCTCCTTTTCCCAGTTATGTGGGCTCATAAGTGCCCCCTCAGATTTAGTCCCTCCTGGGTGGGTTTCCATCATTTGCCAAGTTTGCAAGGGAAGCTGACTTGCTTATTGAGCCAAAGAGCTACAGCTCAGGTGGGAGCCCGCACAGCAGGGGTGGCTCCATTTTGTGATGGGAATACACCCACACCCCAAGCCTGTTCCCAGAGTACGCCTTCTGTCCAAATTCAGATCTCAGATACAACCAGGAAACAGACAAGAGTCTCGGGGATCCATCATGTATGACCACAAATAGGACCCTAAATAGAATAAGTTACACTTTATGTATGTATATTCTGCCAAAGTCCATTCTACTGTCATGTGTAACTAAGAATAAAAAATAAAAATCTTTTTAAAAAATGTCTCTGGGAGACAAGCCTGCAGGAGGTGCATATGGTTGGTTCTGCTCTACTGTCCCCATAATACCAGCATGGTCCCAAAGACCTTTCCTCACTGCAGAGCCTGGCTTCAATTCATTTCAACAAAGTCCATGGGGTGTTTGCTGGGTACCAGCCCTAAGCTCCTGAGTTGGCTCTGGGCTACTTAAGAAATGAGAAAAGCAGCACGCATCCCAACTTGGGCCTTCCTGCTGCCTCTGCACATGCTTTTTGGGAATGGTTTCTTAGCTATTCCCTGGTGAGAGGCCAGAGCGGGAGAAACCTCCTAGACATCTTTCTTCATCCACCCCAGGATAAATTAGCTCTTAGAAGGAGCTGGAGGAGGATGGAGACTAAATCTGCAGCAGATGTTGAAAACGAGTCACAAGTTTTGAGTCACCCAGATTCAGCCCACCTGCCTCATCCCCTCCCCCACAAGCTGGCCACAGCTTATTGCCGTCATTCTAGAAGCTGAGGCCCTCATTTGGGCCCACTGGCCCCATTCCAGGCTCTCCTCCCCAAGGCCAGTGTGGGATGACAGCCTGGAGGAATGGTTCCATCACAACTTGAGATTTCTTGGGCCACACTTACCAGGACAGGGCCTTTTTAAATTTGTGGGTGCTCCCAAAAAGTAGTGTGAGTTACCTTGGAGTCTTGTAACTCACTGTCTGGTGCTCAATAAATATGTGATGAATAGCACATGCTGGGGGGCAGGAAGAGCAAATGTACAGAAAGCTTTGCTGTGAAAGCCCAGAGACAACACTCCTGCTCTTCCTTCAGCATCAACACCCAGGAGCCAGGAAAGCTCCTGCTAAACTGTTAGGCAAGTGAGGTTTGTCTCTGGAACTCCATCCCTCCCTTTAGTACCGGCGCTGAGCTCCACAATTTCAGGGACTCTCTCTCCTTCTCTTTGGTAACTCCCCCACCAGTAGCTCAACATAGTAAAAACAAATAACAATAATAAAAAACTGGACAGAATAACTCTTCCTAAAGTGTGGATGACTGTTAAAGTTAAAGCATGTACCCAAGCTATCTCTCCCAATTTTTTTATACCTTTATTTATTTATTTTTATGTAGTGCTGAGGATCGAACTCAGGTCCTCGCACATGCTAGGTGAGCGCTCTACTGTTGAGCCACAACCCCAGCCTCCCCACCCAAGCTCTCTTAATAGAAGCTCAGCATAAGGGTGAAACAGCAAGATGACGGCAAGTCCACAGCTACAGAAAAGAATTAGTGATAAAAGTGTCTTGCCAATTGCCCTGGTCTCATTTCCCTATCATCTGGATTCTCTCCAACCACATCCCAAAAACGATAGATACTATTCACTCTAAAATTAATGTTACTTATTTGGTAAGGTCTTCTACTTCAGTGTTCCCCAAAGCATAGGTGCATGCCACCCAGTTTTAGGATGACATGAGAGCATCACACCAAATGTAATGAACCTCAAGGAAAGGTCCACTGTTTAGTTCTTCTCCTTTCCCGATTAAGTCAAGGAGAGTCTGGGTTACATGCTAGGATATCTTTAATGCCTCTTGAGATCTGCTCATCCCCCTTTTGCTACACACACACACACACACACACAGAGCAAACTTCAGGCCCAAGGGCTCAAGAAGCAAGAATAACTGACATCAACAATCTCTACAGGGAAAATAGTAGGATACTTTTACAGAACTCCTCTCCAACTGCTGGTTGTTTTCCATGAATGATGGTGAAATAAAGTTTTCTATAATCATAAATCAATATACATTTAAGTTTAAAAAAAGGAGGATTGATTTAAAATGTAAGGAAATCATCACCCAGGTTGTACATGAATATGGCAAAAATGGTGAGGACAGGACAAGAATGAGCAGCCTGAGAAACACTGATCTGTCTAAACAGCTGTGCTATAGGCTGTGCTCCTGAGACACTGTGCCAACTCCCATGGGCTGGCAGGAAGGATTTGGTGGTCCTTACCTCTTGGATTTACCTTCAGGGTGAGATCCGGCAGGGCAGGGACCTGCCATAAGAGACCACCAGGCAAAAAAATGAGAAGGTGGCAAATAATTTCAGGGGTTTGGCAGATGTTCATTTCTTGGCTGATCCTCACCAGTCCCAGAAAGCAGGAAGTAGGAAAGGGTTGGGAGGCTGTTCCATGATCACCCCCCMAAAATCAGACCTTTAGAAAATGAGTCCTCCACGTGGCAAGGCATGGGTCTTTTATCTACCCCCCATGCTGGGGATCAAATCCCGGGCCTTATAACATACTCTACTCTCAACCCCCAAGTAATGGATCTTAACTAGGTCCCATGACTCTGCTCAGGGGCAGGTAGAACAGAAAGGAGACCAAGAGAAAACAGTGGGGTTTCTCAGACTCAGAACCTTTTAGAGATGGGGAAAGTTGGGGATACCCAGTCATGCCAAGATTCACTCATGACACTAACGCAATTGCTTCCCCCAAGGGACCTGAAAACCACCCAAAGAGGGATATGGCTTGCCCAGGGCCACAGAGCTGGTCAGTGACAGCACTGGTACTAGGACCCAGGAATTCTCACTCCTAACACAGGATAGGTTTGGCCCAAAACCCTCACCAATCTTTCCATTCTTCTCCCCATCTCCTTGTATAGGACCTTCCACTCTTGACACCAAAACTCATCACCCTCCTAGAAATAATATACTAGTGTTCCTCTGAGGAACTTTTCCCCTCCTGACAAGTGTTTCTGTGCTGCTAATGATGGCTGCAGGGTGGGCAGGAGGCTCCAGCCTAGCCAGTCACAGCAGTGTACTGGCAGGCAGCAGTTCAGAGATCCGGTCAGCTCCTGGACCCAACCAATGGGACCCAGTTGCTGAGCCATGGAACAGAGAAATATGTCCTGTTTGCCAAGAGTGATGGTGTGGAGCCTGAGAGTGAAACAACACAGGAGAGGACAGAGCTGAGAGACGGAGAAATGGGTCCTGATGACACTGTCAGAACACCTAGGTTAGGCCTTACCTGAAGTCAGAACCAATGAACCTGCTCATTGTGTGAGACAACAGATTTCCTGTTACACTAAACCAGTTTGAAGTAGGATTCCTTGCTCCTCCGCAGAATAACCATGAACATGAAACTGCGCCAGCAGCATCAGATGCAGTGTCCCTCCTCTTTGGGTCACAGAGCCCCCAAGGGGAAAGGGAATGCAGGTTGAGGGTGTCAATCCTCACCTGACTCCCCTTCATGACAGAATTCCTTTTGGCTCCCTCTGCGCCCCCCACAATCTGGGCTCCCAGTTACCTCGAGCCGTTGCTGATGAGAATACTCTCCCGGATCGTCAGGGTGCAGTAATACCACACCAGCAGGAAGTTAAAAACTTCATCCGTCACCCTGGCATGAAGAAACAGCCCCAGGGAGGGGAGCAACGTGAGCACCAGGACAGCCAGCCCTTCACCCCAAAAGGACAGCACCAGGGCAATGGCTTCCCATGGCAGGCACTACCTCTGGAAACCCCTACTCCACTTTGGCAAGCAGAAGTCTGGACCCTGGATGTCTCCTCTCTCCCTGTAATGTCCAGGACCACTGCTCCTCCTTCTACCGGGCCCTACCTGCACTCCAGGCTCTAGCTGAGGATCTCCTCCCTGGTCCAATGCCCAAGGCAACCCATCTCTAAACTCTTCCTGTCTGGGAAGATTCTGGATGACAACAGAAGGACCTTTAAGAACTGTTCTATTTTAGGTTGTTTGTCTTCAATGGTAAGATGCAAATTCCTCCCATCTCCTTAAACCAGGTAGTTTTGGGGTGGGGGTTACTGGGGATAGAATCTAGGTGTCTCTACCACTGAGACAGATCCCAAGACCTTTTTATTTGTTTAACTTTGTGTGTGTGTGTGTGTGTGTGTGTATGTGTGTGTGTGTGTGTGTGGTGCTGGGGATTGAACCCAGGGCCTTATGCATGCAAGGCAACCACTTTACCAATTTACCCAGTCCCCTTAATTTAATTTTTGACAGGGTCTCTCACTAAGTTGCTGAGGCTGGCCTCCAAGATAGAATCCTCCTGCCTCAGCCTCCACACTCACTGAGATTACAGGTGTGTGCCACCACACCTGGTTAAACCATTTGTTACACATATGAAATGAGTCTTAATGGCCTATGTGAGCTACCAAGCTAAATGAAGAAATACTCCTTTGCCTCTTCTACTGTGATTGTAGCCTGTAACCTAGCTGAGCAGGTCTCAGATGCAGACAGAATGGACTGCTGATGCCCATGGGGCTGTGGGCCTCAGCTTGCCATCTGTAAAGTGAGAAGGCTGGCCCCCTAACAGAGCATCCCAGGGCAAAGGTTTCTGGGAGAGAGCCAGTGGCAAACAGCCCTCTGAGGCACCCCTGCCAGCAAAGGCTCTGGTGGAGGGCTCTGTCTTTGACCCTGACAGGGAAGCTCTTCTGCACCTGCCAGTGCCAGACAGACTTCTCCCAGGAGAAGTGACCATGGGTCTTGGCTGTCTGCAGATAAGGGAGGAAAAACACCCCAATTTCCCTGAAGTGGGAGACCCTCTTCCCTCAGAGGGAAGGAGGGAGGATGCAACTTCGGCAACAATGAATAAAATTAGGGGTGTCTCTGAAGCTATGTGACTGTGTTTTGTGGAGTGAGATGACAGTTACCCTCAGACCCCAGGGCTGAACTGTTGTCACCTACAAAGATAAGTCTCAGGAGGGTCAGGATTCCTGAATTCACTCTGGAATTCCAGGGCCTGAGTCCAAATCCCAGCTCTGTCACTTCCCAGCTGTGGGACTGAGGATGAGTAAGCCGCTCCTTGGAGCCCACACTTCCTCTCTGTAATGTGGGAGGGTAATGGCACCTGCTGTGAAGGGCTGCCATGCTCAGTTAATACAGAGTGCTTAAGACAGTGTCCCCAGTGTAACAGAGCTGGGCATGTTCTGGGTTAAAACTCTGGAAGTACCAGACCATCCAGTCTGCAAAATGAGGTTCAGAAGCTTATCAGTGAGGAATCAGAGGCCCACAGGACTTGGATGAGAAGTGAGGGTGGAGAGAGACAGGTATCCCAGGACAGAGCGTCACTTTTTTTTTTTTTTTTTTGGTACTAGGGAGTCTAGTACCAAAATCCAGGGGTGCTCAACCACTGAGCCACATCCCCATCCTTTTTGTATTTTATTTAGAGACAGGGTCCCACTGAGTGGCTGAGGGCCTTGCTAAATTATTGAGGCTGGCTTTGAACTAGCTCCTGCCTCAGCCTCCTGAGCCGTTGGGTTTACAGGCGTGTGCCACTACACACAGCCGGGTGAGGGTCACTTTCAATGCAGGTTTTCCTGCTCACCTCCAGCAGGAGGAAAGCACAATAGCCAGCTGTGGATACAAGGACATTTTTGCTAATCCCTTCCTAAATCTTCTGGATGAAGACAGGAGTCAAAACAAAATGTTATGGTTCCAGCACTTGCTCTGACTTGCTTCAGGTGCTGGCCTCAATCTGCTTGGCAAAGTGTGTGAGTTTCCTATGGCTGCTGTAACAAATCACCTTGAACTAAACGGTTTAAAGAAACCATTTAATCTCCTACCATTCTGGAGGTCAAAAGTCTGAACTGGGTCTCACCAGGCTAAAATCAAGCTTTTAGCAGGCCTTATCCCTGCTGGAGGCTCTCAGGGAGAATATGCTTCCTGTCCTTTTCTAGTTTCCAGAGGCTGCCGTATTTCTTGTCCTTGTACCATTCCTATCTTGGTTTCTGTCATCACATCTCTTCCTGGGATTCTGATTCTTCTGCCTCCCTCTTATGAGGACTCTTATGATGACCCTGGGTCCACATGGATAACCCAGGCTAACTTGCCCATCTCCAGATCCTTAACCCAATCATATCTGCAGAATCYCTCTTGCCATATAAGAGAATGTGTTCACAGGTTGCAGAGACGAGGACGGGACCACTACTCAGCCTCTCACACTGGTCAGCACTGGTAACCGGAAACTTGCTATGCTACGCACATTCTGCACGGATGGTCACTCTGAATCCTTGAAAAGCCCTGCACAAAGCAGGTACATGTACTACGCTCACACCTGCATGACTTCCAATTGCCAGAACCTGCCACTCTTGATGTGCCCAGGGCTCTCTTGGGCCACCACAGCCACTCTTCTGGTGCACGAAGCAGATCAGAAGGTGGAGGAATTAGTACCCTCTAGGAGAAGTCCCTAGCTTCCCTGATTGACAGCAGTGGGAGGACGACACACCAGCTGCCTGGCCCTCAGGTGGGACATCCCAGGTTATTCCGTACTGTCCTGGATTCTCTGCAGTACTGAGCTCCAAATGCCTATGGGATGGCTCTTCTTTGTTTTACTTTCTGTTCAGCTACCCGTGTTTCCTAGGATCATCTATCATAGGGACTGAAATACTTGTCTTGGGGTATTATATATTTGTCTTCTAAAGGAAACCCAAGGATGGAACTACTTCCTACTTTACAGATGAGGAAATAAAGGCTCAGAGAGGGGGAGTGAGTTGCCCAGGATCACACAGCTGCTAAGCCTTGGAATGAGATCCAAACCCAAGCCCATCTAAATGAAGCTTAACTCGGACTACCTTGTTCCTACCTGGCTTGAAACCCCATAAAGCAGTTCTGACCTGACAGCTTCTTAGCTTGAAGACTGCAGAGAGAAGTCTCAAACTTTCTAGGTACCTCAGATACCTCAACAAAGCTTCCTAAACACCAGGCAGCATGGATAAGAGGGGTCCTAGGGACCATGGGAAAGACGAGGAAGCAGAGTGGTGAAGGGCTATACTCAGGGTCACATAGCCTATGAGTGGTAGAGTTGGGCTTAGGACCCAGGGCTCTGAAGCTGTTGGCTGTCAAACTTCAAGCTTAGAGGTATCAAGGAGGGCATTTGGGTGGAGCACCCAGCAAGGAAACTATGCCAAGGGGGTAAGTATAACCCTGCTAGCTGGGCACACTGAATATTAAGCTGTGATCTTTAGGGGGCAGATGGGAAGATAGATTCTGGCTATGTTTTCAGGCTGATCTTAAACTCATGGGCTCAAACAACTCATGGTTACATGCACCTGTAGCTGAACTACAGGTGCATGCAACCATGCTTGGCTGTGATCTTCCTGAGAGCCCAGTCCTAACACAAGGTGACAGTGACAATAACAGTAGCAAGTACTAATGGCTCCATAGCAAGCTCCCCTGTGGTCACCAGGAGAGAGGAGCTGCCTGCCCAGTCCCACCCCCTGTCCCTTTTTCAGCCTACGGATGGTGTATTGGGTTGAAACAGTGTCCCCCAAAACTCATATCCACTGGGACCTCAGCATGTGACCTCATTTGGAAATAGGGTCTTTATAAATGTGATAAGTTTAGACAAAGTCATACTGGGTTAGGGTGAGTCCTAAATCCAATGGCTAGTGTCCTTACAAGAAGGCCATGAGGGAGACACTCAGGAATGGAACCATGTGTCAACAGATGCAGCGACTGAGGTAAAAGGACTTAAAGCCAAAGAACACTACGGACTACCAGGGAGGACAGCCAAGGAAGAACCTGCCTTGGAGCCTGCCAACACCTTGATTTCTGGCCTCCTGAGCCACCAGAGAAGAGGACGTATTTCTGTGGTTTTAAGCTCCCCCAGTTGGTGGGACGTCTTATGGCAGCCCCAGGAGACTGAAACAGAGGAGAGGGGGAGAAATGGGACTATCCATCCAGGCCCTGGGTGAAGAACTTGACAACACAGTCCAGGTTTCCCCTGGAGGGTCCTAGAGGTCCCCATGCAAGGGAATATGGTTGCACACCAAGAACTTTTACCCCTTCCAGAGGGGAGGGTGAGCAGGCATTACTGGTATGCACAGCCTCTGCCCCCAGGAAAGTGGGCCAGGCTCCACGCAGCAGGCAGACATGAGCCCAGGGCGTGCGAGAGCCTGTCGGGTCACCTGAGTGCCACACCAGCAGCTGGACTCTCAGCCAAGGGCAGAAAATAAACTCTTGACACATGGACCAAATCCAAAACCATACTTGGCTGCCTCCCCTGAGGGCAGAAGAACCAAGGCCAGAGGGAAGAAGGGACCCCAGGGCAGTGCAGCGCAGCCCCACCTCCCTCCTTGGAGAGCTTGCCAACCACAGAATGTGGATGCACTGAATCTTCCCCACCCTGTGAAGTATGGCCTGTTGTCACCTTGTCTTACAGATGGGGAGACTAAGGCTCCCAGGGGAAACCCACCCATGGTAACAGCCAGTTAGTCTCAAAGCCAGTGTTTAAACCCAGGCATTCTGGGCTAAATCTTTTTCTTTTTGTATTTTTAAAATTTCTTTCTTTCTTCTTTTTTTGCAATTCAGATATAATTCACTTACCTTTTAAAGTATTCAGTGGGTTTTGTTATATTCACAGAACTGTGTGCAATTGACATTACCTAATTTCAGAACTTTCTCAACACCCCAAAAAGAAACCCTATAATCCATGAACAGCCAGCCACTCCCTGTTGCCCCTCCTCCAGCAGGCTCTGACCTGCGCTGTCTCTAGATTGACCTACCGTGGATATTTCCTATCCATGCAATCATGCAACATGGTTTTCTGGGTCTGCCTTCTTCACTTAGCAGCATGTGTCAGTGTTTTATTCTGCTTTATGGCTGAACAGCATCCTGTTGTATGGATGTGCCACAATGGACTCTGTCTTAACTACTGCATCAGAGGGCCCTCTAGCAGCCCTGTGGGCCCTCCACAGGTGATCAGCATTGCAGTTTCCCATGAGAAATGGTCCTTCCCCACCCTATATCTTATCACACCAAACACTCCAGGAGCAGGAGGGACCTTGCCTCCATCTGGCCCCCTCTCTCTCCTGGCCCCCTCCTCACACCCCATATGCCCATGCACACACTGCCACACCCCACTACCTGTAGTGAAGGACAAAGCGACATGCCACAGCTCCCAGGAGCAGGATTATAGTCAGGTAGAGCTTGAACTTCTCATACTCATCCTTGTAGGCAAACCTGCCATGACATAACCCCCCAAGAAAGGTCACATTCTATTAGTATTCCACTCCACTCCCAGCCCTGCCAGTTCCAGGACTACCACCATTGCCACAACCCATGAGGACCTGCACATTCCACTAAGGGAGACACTGGCCTTGAGTCAGCAGTGACCAATGAAGGAAAGAGGGCCAACTACAAAAGGTCCCCCTGTCCTTGGACTCCTGGGTTAGAGCTTTGGGCCCATGATGCAAAGAGGCAGGGCAGAGATAGAGTCTCTCCCTCGATCAAGTGGTGCAGCAGAAACACAAGGGTCACTCTTGCCTAGAAATGGAGAGATTCCAGGGGACAGGAGCACCTGTTTCCCATGGGAAATGCTCTAACAAGGGAAGTAATAAATGTTATAAGAAGGGAACAGAGCAGGGGTCACTCTCATGGGAAATGGGGAACCTTATCCACCAACATACTGACTCTGGGAAAAGAAGGAAGGAAACCTTCCCCAAGCTGCCTACCCACTAAGTAGGACTAGGCCAGAAAGACCAAAAGCCAGAGCCCAAACTGCTAACCTGCTTTGATTTATGTAAAAATTCTAGCTTGGACCTATCTTCCCTGAGTGAAAAGAGCAAGATGCCTGGATTTTGAGCTAGTAGGTGGGTGGAGGGGCAGGTCCAGGCATACTTACTTGGCCTGGTTGCTGAGGAGGGTCACATTCACATTACCAAGGACCAGATTCAAGTAGAGCCTGGAAGGAAAGACCTGTGAGAGCCACATTCCTGAACAGCCTTGAGAGTCATCCCACCCAAAATTATGCACTGAGCACTTAATATGAGAAAATAGGCCCCAGAGCAAATGAGAACAATGATTAACTGAAGAATACGGCAGCTTGTACATGGAAGTCTATTAGCTCATTTCCCCCATCAAAGCTGGCTTAGAGAACCTATTGCCCCTTCTCCCGTACAGCCAGATGTAAGCGTGTGACTAAGTTCCAGGCAATGAGGTGAGGTGAAGGCATAAGTATAATCTCTAGATCAATTTAGAAAGTGTTTTTTTTTTTTAAGTGGTACTGAGGATTGAACCCAGAGGTGCTCTATGACTGAATTACATCCCCAGTCCTTTTTATACATATATATATATATATATATATATATTTTTTTTTTTTTTTTTTGCAGAGGTGGGGGTAGGGCAGGGTTGTCCTAAGTTGCTGAGGCTGTTCTCAAACTTGTAATCCTCCAGCCTCAGCCTCTAGAGTCACTGGGATTCCAGGCATGCACCACCATGCCCAGCTAGGATTGTCTTTAAAATTAAGGCATAACCTTCATAAGTATACATGTCTTAAGCACAAGCATGATGAATTTTTATATATTTGTACAGGTAACCAACACTCAGGTCAAAGAATAAGACATTTCCAGCCCCAGGAGGCTCCCTTATGCCCAACCAGGTCAGCTTCCCCCAGTCTTTTTTTCTATCACCATGGATTCATTTTGCCTATTTTTGAACTTCTCCTATATGTACAGAGGGTAGAATCTTTTAAATTGGCTTCCCTCCATATTCCAAGCTACATCCATGTGGAGGGCGTTTCGGTCCTTCCTTCTTTTTCATGGTAAGCAGTATTCTATGGGTGGCTACACCACCACTGATTCATTTCTTCTACTTTTGATGAACATTTGGTTTATTTTCAGTTTTTGGTTGCTTTTCAGTGTGTTTCAAGAGTACTGAAAATCTTTCAGTAAATTTCCAACATGTAAGACAATATTTTTAAGAACAGTCCCCCTACTGTTGTGGGTCAGTCCTCAAGACTGAGAGGGCACTTGCCTAGAATGTATAAGACCTTGGGTTCCATCCCCACCCCTGTAAAAAACAAATAAACAACAACAACAACAAAATCTCTAAACTTAGTCAAGCTATGTAACAAGTCTGTTGCTATTGACATCTCCCCAATTGCCCTGTACCCCTGCCATTGGTAACTATCTTTCCATTCTCTTTTTCTATACATTCACTTTTTAAAAACTCCACATATAAGTGAGATCATACAGTATTTTTTGCATCTGGCTTATTTCATTGCCCATAATGTCCTCCAGGTTTATCCATATGCTTTTAGTTATTGGCTAGTTGTGAATATACTTTTTTGTAAATTAAGGCATAATTCACATACCATAATTTTGTCCTTTTAAAGTATACAATTTAATGACCTCTAACATAGTTATAATGCTGTGCACCCATCCCCATCACCTAATTCCGTAACACTTCCACCAAATGAGACCCAGCACCCATCAGCAGACTTTCCCTACTCTCCCTCCCCCAACCCCTGGCAACCACTCATCTACTCTGTCCCTATGGTATTGCCTATTCCGGACATTTCATATAAATAATGTCATACAATACGTGATCTTTTGTGTCTCACTAATTTGTTATGAGTGTTCATATACAGTCTTCCGGAGGATATAAACACCCATTTCCCCTGGGTATGTGGCCAGGAACAGAATTTCTGGGTCATAGTGTAGGTATGTGTTCACCTTCCATAGGAAATGGCAAACATTTTCTATAAAAGGAGATTTTCTTGCTTTCTTGCTCTCCTTCCCCTTCCAGTTAACTGGGGCGGCGGGTGGCAGGGGGAGCCAGATTTGTACATGCACATCAGGACAACCCCCCATGAGGGAGAAGCCGTCTGTTAAAGGATGCAGAGTCCTCAGATGACCTCTCAGCCCAGTGCTCTGGCCCACTCATCCCTGGGTAGCACATGTGAGAGGAAAGGCTCTCTCTCATGGAGCCATCCTATGGTTGGGCCTCCATCAAAAAAGCCTGTTCTCTAATACACTAACAAAAGCACAAACAGGACCTCAATGGAGGATGGACAAATCCCACACAAGGGCAGTGGTTTGGAAAGGCTTCACTGAGGTTGTGACATTTGAATTAGGCTTTGAATAGTAAGCTTGAGAGGAGGAAAAAAAAAAAAAAACAGAAAAGCCATCTTCCTAGCTATGAGTTGATTTTCGAGACATTTCCAATCGGCTATAATGGGAGCGAAAGTATAATGAGGACATTCTCTCCTGCCCAGCATTTAATCCCTATTTTCTTCAAGGGCAAAGCAAGAGAATCACTACCCCACTTAGACCCAAGGGGAAAGAACATGCCCTTGGCTCAGCCAGTTAAAGCAATGCATCCTCATGATTGGTTAAGAATGGTCATGTGTCACAATTCTGGCCAATGAGATTCTTTCCCAGAAGCACTGAGAAACAGAGTGTCTCTACTAGAACTACTTAAGAGGTAGGATATAAACCCAGGGCTCCTGGGGACCAGTTTATAAAGAAAGTCTGCCTATAAATGAAATATACACATTAGAAAAGAAAGTTTTAAAAAAAAGCTAAATAAGAGACAAGTCCTAAGAGGATCATTTGAGCAGCAGGATCTTGCAATATCTGAAGTTATATCTGGACTTTTCAGCTACAGGAACCAATAAATCCTCCATTTTTATTAGGCAACTTTGAGTTGGGCTTTCTATCATTTGTAGCATTAAGATTTCTAACTGGTGTCAAATGCACAAAGAATTGGGGAGAGAGAAGCCAAGGATAGAAGTTTGAGCAACACTGCAAAGAGGATCATGAAGTCAGGAGCAATGGTGCATTCCTGTACTCCCTGCTACTTGGGAGACTGAGACACAGGGAACATAAGTCCAAGGCTAGCCTGGGTAACATAACAAGACCCTGTGTGAAAAGCAAAAAAAAAATTGGACACCAGGAATGTGGCTCAGTGGTAAAGTACTTGCCCAGCATATGTGAGGCCCTAAGTTCAAATCCCAGCACTGAAAAAAAAAAAAAAAGGTCTGGAGGCATAGCTTAGTAGAGCACCTGCCTAGCATGTGTGGGGCCCTAGGTCCCATCCCCAGTACAGAGGGGGGAAAAAAAAAAGGTCAAGAATGCTGGGCTGCTCTTTCATCCTGTAGAAAATGACTGCCACCTAACTCACAGGAGTTTTTAATCCACATAGAACAAAAAAAGGAGACACTAGGAGAATGGTTCAAAATGTAATAGGGCTAGTGAGCTGCCTTCCATCCCACTGTGGGCCTAAAGGGTGGAGGCTCTGACTCAGCACTAGGGAACCAGGAGACAGGGTCAAGGTCAGGATGTCTCACATTCACATCCTGGGCTGGCTGAACCTAGGCTGAGCCCCCTTGGCCAGATATTCCATAATGTTTCCGAACCCTGTGAAAATGGAGATACCATGATCTGATGCACCAGGTTATTGAGAATAAAATGACTGATACCATAGGAGCTTCCAGAGCAATGCTGGGCATGCAATAGGCATACAATACATGCTGGTTCTCTTGGTATAGAACACCAACCCACTTGACCCCAGGTGGCACACACATGCAGCAGGTACTAGTTCCTTGTAAGAGTCCTCCCAGGAACGTTACTACCATCTGGCAGGGGCTGAAGACATGTAGGGAAGCATCCTTCTCCTTCCTTTCTCGCTTCCCCATTTCCTCTCAACCTCAGGCCCCTGAAGGGAGGTGAGAGTCCCACAACAGGGCTGGGATGGGTCCCACTCCTACCCATTCTTCTTGGGCAGGTAGGCCTCCATGTCAAAGAAGACGTTCTGCCGCTCCTTAATGTGGGCACTCATCTGCTGGACCAGCTCTGTCTCCTCCTGGCTGGCATGGCGCTTGTACCTGCAATGGGAGGTGTGGGCATAGAGATAGGGCATTACTCAGAGATGGAGGAAGAGCAGGGACCTCTCCATATGTCCACCCCAAACAGGGCCTCTCACAACCTCAGTTCTCCATCTGTACCCTCTGGGCTTGACACTGGCTCCCAGTAGCCTTGTGACCTTGGAAAAGTCCTTGAATTTCTTTGCCTTATTTTCCATACTGGAAAAGTAGGGCTAGCAGCAGGCCCTTCCTTATAAACAACAGCCTTTGAGAATGATTCAGTAAACATAGTATAAAGCCCAGAATGATACTTGGCACACAGTAGGATCTCAATAATCAGCTGGCAAAACTTTTTTTTTTTCCTCACTATTCTATAGGAAAATGTGTAGAAGTATAAGCAGGTGATCACAGTCTGACTGTCACCCTCTGGAGAAATGTAACTTTTAAAACTAGAAAAACAATGTCTGGAGACATGGCACCCTTAGGATGGTGGGAGAGGTCCTTGGTCTAGGGCCCTAACTCACAGGTCAACCTTGCAACCTGGTGCTTCACAACTAGGGACACTGGGCAATGTCTGGAGACATTCTGGTTGTCACAACATGGGTGAGGAGCCCCACTGGTACCCAGTGGGTAGAGGCTGGATGCTGCTAAACCTTCTACAAACACCCAGAACAGTCCTTCATAGCATAGAATCATCAACAGTGTTAAGGCTGAAAAACTCTGGGCGGAAAACAGATGGGACTCTGGAGGCTGCCATCAGAAAGCTGTGCTTTGCCATGGGTGACGATGTGTCTACATGATGATCCACGACCCCTTACTCCTCAATCCCTTATGAGCCCCTGATTCCAAAATGTGCAGCCAAGGCAAGGGATCTGATCAACACCTTCTCCAACAACTGCCCGCGAAGGAAGGGAGAATTGATCAGGAGGCACGAAAACAGAGGCCCACATAAGTGACCTGGTCACGTCACTTAAAGCCTCAATTTCCCTGCCTGCCTTGGGGGATGAAGGCATCCATTGGATGCCCTTACCTACAAGAGATGAGCTTCCCAAACCATGAAGACATGAGGACTGAGAAGTGAACATGATCTGGGCTCAAGAACTGAACTCAGGTACTCTTGGGACCGCAACCTGGGACCCCAACCTAGTACCTCCAAAACCAGAGACCCTGGTGGGGAAAGCACCCCACATCTGTGAGAATACCTGCTGTATACCTGGCCAGCAAGACTTCTATCAACTGCATCCCAGCTTTCATCTGAGAAACCTCCTCTCATTCTTTTCCCCCCTCCATTTAGATCAAACAGGGCTTTCCCACTCACCAAGGTCCATAGACTGAGCACATGACACAGTCTTACTCAAGCAGTCTCAGGGACTGGTTCAAAGATGGGCACATGACCAAGCCTAGCCAATGAGGATCAATCCCAGGATTTCTGCTAAAGCTCTGAGGGAGACAAGTTTTCATTCTGTTGGAGGGTGGAAACAATGCAGTAGGAAAGAAGGCTAGAGGATCTAAACTTGTTACTGTAAGTGGCCATCTCAGTGACCAGGTGGGGACAATCAGCCTGAGTGCAAAGCAAATCTGGAGGATGACAGAATTTAGAGAAAAACACAGATTCCTACAAATACCCTTTGATCCCTGGATCCAGCAATGTCTGAAGGTACTCCTGCTTTTTTTCCCATTAGAACTTCCATTCTCTGTTTAAGCCAGTTTTGAGATGGTATTCTGTCATTAAACAACAAGGAAACAATTAAGTTGCAGCCCCACCTACCTCTGGAGCGTGTGCTTCAAGTCCTTGAGTCGCCTCTTCTGCTTGTGGATGGAACTGCTACACAAGGCCTGCAGTGCTGTCAGCTCCTCCAGCTTCTGCCTGTAGATCCTGTGGGTCTCCTGAAGGATGGAGTGGCCAGGGTAGTTTTGTGGGGGAACATTAACAGGCCGTTTTTTATAGTTTGCTTGTGGTCAGGAGACATGGCTACAGAGGTCACAGGCTGACAAAAAGCAGCATGACACAGTGCCTGTGTCATAAGTAACTGCTGCTTTTTCCTGCCCAGGTTCTATTCGTTCTGATGCTAACATCAATTACATATGCCACTGAGGGGCTACGTCTAATCAATTCATTGTCCAGATGCTTTGGTAAAACTTGAGGTCCCACTCTAAGGGTAGTCATGCGACCCTGGCCTGGCCAACCAGTATCCTCCAATTCCCTAACAACTGCTGGGTTCAGAGTTGAACACATGGCTCCTGCTGGCCCAGTGAGAGCCGACCCTGGGACTTTGGCTAGCAGGACTGGCTTAGAGATGTTCTTTTCCCCCTAGGTTTGCTAATCTGGTAGAAGTTACACATGGACTCTGAGAGGGGAGAGCCTTTCTAAAAATGAAGTCACACAGAAAACAGAACTGAGAGATGGTAAGGGATGGTTTGGATAGTATTTGTCTCCCAGAGGTTTATGTGCTGGAAGCTTGGTCACTGGAAGCTTGGTGCTGAGAGGTGGTAGGACTTTTAAGAGGGTGGACCAAGTAGGAGGTAATTAGGTCATGGAGTACCACCCTTGAAAGGGATAGCTTATCTTGCAGGAGTTAAGTAATGTCTCAATGGGTTGGATTAGTACTCATGAGGGCAGATTGTTATAAGCAAGGTTGGACCTTCCCCTGACTCTCACTTAAACATGTGCTCTTCCACAGGTACCCACTGGCCACTGTCACACATGCCTCCACCATTTGATGGCCATTTTCCATGTTATGAGACAGCAAGAGGCCCTTGCAAGATGTAACCACTTAAGCTTGGACTTTTCAGCCTCCAAAATCATAAGCCAAAATAAACTTCTTTCCCTTATAAAGCACCCAAACTCAGATATTTTGTTATAGAGACAGAAAATTAATTTTGGCTCTTGGGTCTAGGCAAGTCTCAAAGACATGTTATCCAATACCCTGGGTTCTATGAATTGATAAATTCCCCTTCACTTACTACTCACTTTGACTTCAGTTTCTGATCCTGGCAATGGGGAGAGAGTGCTGAGTCAACTAGAATAAGAACATACCTCCTCCCTTAAAGCCACCCTCCCTCCCCCAGACACATTAATTCAATAAACTTGCTATCTCATTCTTGGAAATAACCATTCAGAGCCACAGAGACTTCATTCCAATGCTGGGAGAATGGAACACAGTAATTTCTTGAATTGCTGCTTTGAGGAAAGAAACTAATAGGAAATGTGGAACATGAAATTAAAATCAATAAGCCAATGGACACAATTTAAATGGCTGTTTTTTTTGGCTGTTGAGGAAACATTTTTAACAAAGGCAGAGGTGGGGATGGTTGGCTAGTGGGGACAGAGCCTAAACTCCCACACCTACCAGGCAGGATCTCTAGATACAAGGTTCAACCAGAAAATGAGGAAGCAGTGAAGTTGGTCAAGTGGACAGATAATTAGGAGTGAAATCCAGTGATGAGTGATTCACCCTGGCCACCCACCTGGAAGACAGAAGAATCAGTAGCCCCCCCCCCCCTCTCTCTGGGCCTCCCAAGGAAGGAAATCTTGTTTTTGTTTTTGTTTAAATTTTAAATAATTTTAAACTTGCAGAATCGTAAGAATTTAAAAAAAAAACTTCTCTATATTCTTGACCCACATTTACCCACTATTTTCATTTTCATTACATTGCATTTGCTTATCACCTCTGTATATCCTCTTTCTATATCAGGCATCCATAAACTACAGCCCATGGGCCAAATTTGGCTCTCTAATTTTGTATGGGCAGTAAGGAAATGGGTTGTGTAGGGTTGCAAAAGAAAAATCAAAAGAATATCTTGTGACACGTGAAAATTATATGCAGTTGGAATTGCAGTATCCATATGTCCAGTTTTACTGGCACACAGCCACGCCCATTCATTTACATATGGTCATGGATGCTTTGGCACTAAAACAGCAGAGTGAGTGGCTATGACAGAGACCATATGTCCCCCAAAGCCTAAACTCTTCTTTTGGTCTTTTACCAAAAATTTTGCCCACTCCCATGTTATCTCAGATATTTGGGATTTAGTTATAGACAATACAACTTTCTACTTCTAAATACTTCAATGTGTCTCTAGAAACAACGATATTATCTTATATGTCCAGAATACAATGATCAAATACAGAAAATTCAACCTTGATACAGTGCAATGCAGTGACCTCAAAGACCATGCCAATTCACATTCTGGTATCGCTTTCTTTCATGGCACTTCCCTCCAGAGCCTGGATCCAACTCAGTTTGGTGCCTTTCATTATTACTGCTAGTGTCTCCAGCTTCTTTAAACCTGCGATGGTGCCTCAATCTTGTCTTTCAAGAATTGATGGGGTTGTTTGTTTTAAATATTTATGTTTTTAGTTATAGGTGGACACAATACCTTTAGTTTATTTTACGTGGTGCTACTGATGGAACTTAGTGCCTCACACATGCTAGGCGAGCGCTCTACCTCTGAGCCACAGCCCCAGGCCTCAGGAATTGATGTGTCTAGAGAGTTCAGTCCAGGAGCTTTGGAGAACATCTTTCAGCCCAGATTTGCCTGATGCTTCCTCTTGATTAGATTATGCTTATACACTGGGGCTGGAATGCCACTCCCATGATGCTGTGTCCCCAGAGCCTCCTGTCAGAAGGGACATGGTGCCTGTGATGTTGACTGTGATTACACGGTGAAGGTGTCCATCTACCAGAGTATTCACTGTACACTGACCAACTTTCTTTCTTTATTTTTTTTTCTGGGCTGCCCAAGACTTATGCATGCTAGGCAAGCACTGTACCACTGAGACATACCCCAGCCTCTTAGTGACCAACTCTATTTGTAATTAGCAAGTTATCTCAGGGCTGAGGCTCAGTGACAGAGCACTTGCCTTCCAAGTGCCAGCTCTGGGTTCAAGTTCCCTGCACCAAAAATACATAAATAAAATAAGTTATCTGTGTGGAGAAAGATTATGTGTGAATCACTTCTGAATTCTTCAGTGAAACACAGCCCTCAAGTACAAGGAACATCTGCTAGTAACAAAGGAAACCCACCAGAACAGGAGAGGGATCACTGGAACAGAGAGAAACCTTCCACAAGGTGGGACCTTCAGATGAGCAGCTCCAGGGAGATAAAGGGCCACACTGCCTCCCAGCACTCTGGTGTTGGGTTCCACCATGGAGAGATAAGGTGAAGGCCACACAATCAGCAGCCAAATGCTCACCAGGCCCTCCTCAGTGTGAATTAATATTTAATTTCACAAGTAAAACATGAAGACATTATCCTTGTTAAAAATTAAAACACTATGTCATAGAACCTCTCTGGCTTCAGGAAAGCAGGAAGACTTGGTAATCAGCTCCAAATGCTCATCTGCCCAGCTGTGTTTGCTTTAGAGGGACAGGACAGAGACACTCCCTTCAAGGCTGTGAACAAAACCAGGACTTGTCATCACTTCCCTGAGCTCATTAAAAAATTTTTAAAAAATTGCTTCATGTGGGAAAAAAATGAACACATAATCCCAACAACTCAAGAAGCTGAGGCAAGAAAACTGCAAGTTGGGCTGGGGATGTGGCTCAAGCGATAGCGCGCTCGCCTGGCATGCGTGCGGCCCGGGTTCGATCCTCAGCACCACATACCAACAAAGATGTTGTGTCCGCCGAGAACTAAAAAATAAATNAGAACTAAAAAATAAATATTAAAAATTCTCTCTCTCTCTCTCTCTCTCTCTCTCTCTCTAAAAAAAAAAAAAAAAAGAAAGAAAGAAAACTGCAAGTTCTTCTTTTAATATCCTTCTTTCCCAGAAATAACCATTGTTATCAATTTCTTCTAGATCTTCTTTCTCCCTCCTTCCTCTCCCCCTCTCCCCAACATACCTCCCTCCCTCCCCCCCCTCTCTCTTTCTCTCTCTGCAAGGTCTCACTATGTAGCCAAGGCTGGCCTCAAACTCTCTATCCTCCTACCTCTGCCTTCTGAGTAGCTAGAAAACAGGTGTCCACTGCCGCACTTGGCTAGCCCTTCTTCTATGTACTCTGCCAAGCTATGGTCCATGTATTTCTGGKTTTTTTTTAATATTTATTTTTTTTAGTTGTAGTTGGACATAATACCTTTAGTTTATCAATTTATATGTAGTGCTGAGGATCGAACCCAGGGCCTGGCACGTGCGAGGTGAGCGCTCCACCACTAAGCCACAACCCCAGCCCCTTTATTATCATTTCTATGTAATAAGAGCACATAACAAAAGATCTATCCTCTTGGAAAATGTATATGTATATAACACAGTATAGTTAACTGTAGGCACTATACTATGCAGTGAGATGAATAAGCCTCAGGGCTTATTCATCTAGTACAATTGAAACAATGTACCCTTTGATTTACCTCCCTACTCCCTGTATTCTATATTCTATATAGATCTGTTTCTATATGCATGAAAAAAAATACACACAAACACACACATACACACATACACACACACTCATACATTAAAAAATACATACTGTTGCAAAAAAAAATATTGTCCCCAATACTTGGTCTCTTTTGTTTCCTTTTAGTAACAGTATTCCATCAAGCTGTAGCTGGGCACATGGCTATCCAGCTAGGGACTACATTTCCCAGCCTCCTTTACAGCTAGGTATAGCAGCACAACTAAGAGTTAGATGTAGGCAGGAGCAATATGTTCAAGGTTTTCCTTTTGTTTTGTTTGTTTGTTTTCATGGTGCTGAGGACTGAACCCAAGGACTTGTACATGCAAAGTATAAACTCCACCAATGACTACTTTCTATATGGAACTTCTTGCCTTCTACTCTGGTTCTCTTGCTGTGATGCAGCAACAACGGGTCGATTTATCTTGAAACCAGAGATGAAAGCTACATGATGAAAATGGCAGAGGACACTGTGCCCTCTCCAACCAAACCATC